CAAAACTCCATCCATCCTTCTCAAGCTTGACATTCGGAAGGCTTTTGACTCCGTACGTTGGGATTACATTCTTGATCTCCTCCAACGAAGAGGCTTTCCTAGCAAATTTCGTGAGTAGGTTGCGACCCTCCTTTGCACATCCACTTCCCGGATTCTACTCAATGGTGTTCCCGGCCCCCCTATTAAGCATGGCCAGGGCCTTCGCCAAGGAGACCCGTTCTCGCCCCTATTGTTCGTCATCGCCATTGACCCTCTCCAACAAGTGTTGGATTTGGCCACTGCTCATGGCTTACTCCATAAGATTAGAGATCGTGGGGCTGTTTATAGGACCTCACTCTATGTTGATGATGCAATGGTATTCATGGCACCCATCAAACAAGATATGGACAACCTGTCGTCCATCTTGCGCTGCTTTGGTGACGTCACCGGATTAGAGACAAACTTCCAAAAGAGCTCCTATGTCCCCATCCGGTGTAGCAACCGCAACCTAGGAGAGATCCTCCATAACTTGCCGGCGACCCGAGCTCACTTTCCCATCCGTTACTTGGGCCTACCACTATCCATATGGCAACTCAAGAGAGCAGATTTTCAATTCCTTGAAGATAAGGTTGCCGCAAGGCTGGTACCTTGGGATGGGCAGAACGTCACCACTACGGGTCGTGGTAGCCTTGTCAAGTCGGTGCTCACCTCGCAAGTCATCTACCATGCCACTCCACTTATCATCCCGCCACCTGTAATAAAGAGCATCAACAAAATCGAGAGGGCTTTCCTTTGGGCGGGAACAGACAAAATCACCGGCGCAAAGTGCAAGGTTAATTGGGCTACTGTGTGTCGACCAAAGCATCTTGGTGGATTTGGTGTGCTCGACCTTGACAAGTTTGCTCGGGCCTTGCGTTTGCGTTGGCTTTGGTATGAGTGGAAAGACCCGGACAAGCTTTGGGTGGGTATGGGGAACCCATGCGACAAGGTGGACATCAACCTATTCTACGCCTCTACCATCATCTCAATTGGCAATGGTGCCATTGCCCCCTTTTGGGGTTCCCCTTGGCTCAATGGAAAGAAACCGAAGGACATTGCTCCTCTCATTTACTTGGCCTCCTCGCGAAAAAATTGGAAAGTCAAGGAGGCCTTGGCGGATGATGCTTGGATTCGCAAGATAAACCTCAATACGGTTCTGACCATGGAGCACCTTAGACAATTTCTCACACTTTGGGAGCAAATTCGCCACACCCACCTACGCGAGGATGCCATCGAGTGGTTTTTATTCGTCGGCATCGGCTTATCACGCACAATTCATTGGATCTATGGGCACCACCTTCCACTGCTACATTTGGGGCGCTTGGGCTCCGCCGAAGGTGAAATTCTTTGCTTGGCTTGCAACCCGTAATAGGATTTGGACGGCTGACAGACTCGCTAGGAGGGGTTGGCAAAATTGTGGACCGTGTCTGCTTTGCCAACGTGTGCAAGAAAATGGAGGCCATCTTTTCTACAAGTGTCGCTTCACCCTTAGGATTTGGAACCTCATCAGAAATTGGCTTGGTCTCCATATATGATTGACATGTCAACTTGGGACAATTTGCACTCTCTCTCGCTTTGGTGGAGAAACATGTCTGGAAGCAACATCCCCAATAGAAAGACCATGGCATCCCTCACTATGCTAGTTGGGTGGACCATTTGGAATGAGAGAAACGCTCGTATATTCAGGCACAAATCAACACCTGCGCCGGTCATCTTTGACACCATCAAAAGAGAAGCTAGACTTTGGGTTACTGCGGGTGCACACAAATTGGATAGCATAATGCCGGAAAAGTAATGGACCTCATGTAATATGTGTGGTGTAACAAACAAACTCTATTCTCCTTCTTAATTAATGGATGAGTCAAAGCTTATGCCTCCGTTTCGAAAAAAAAAACATTGCGCTAAACAGAAACAACCAACACAGTCACTCCCGGCCTCCCGGATGATGTAGAAACGGTCTTCATCCTCTTTCCTGCCCGAGGTCCTTATTTTGACTTAGATTTTGTTTCCTTGGCCGTGTCGGTGAGGTGCTGGCTGCTGATGACAAGATCCATCTGGCCGATCTGTTCCGACCAAGGGCCAACTCCATACCTCGACGACGTCCGATCCATGTCCGCGAAGTGCGAGTAGGGTATATATTGCCAGATTTCTCATATTTGTCATGCAGGGTCAAAAATCTTGTCGGGACAACCTTAATGCTTGTTCCATATTGTTTTCGGTGTACTTTTGCCTTTACAAGTCGTTTTGTGTTTAGTTGTCCTTTCATACTAAATATTGCTTTCTTCGATAAATATAATATAGACACCCAACTGTTTCTTAATACTCATCCAGTTAAGTTTATCATACTCTCTCCAATCAGGTTTAGAGCATCTCAAACAGAAGGACAAAAGTTCCGCGCCCTAAAATAGTTTAGCACGCCACTGTAGCATTTTTAGCGCGCCGGACCCAATATTGGTTTACCAGATGCCTAAAAACGCGCGACAGAAAAACACACAGTGTAAATTGTGAATGCACGCAATCCGGCGACTCAATTTGCAGCATGTGATAGCAGTTTTCAGCGCGCGCGCAACCCTGTTTTACGCGCCATTATTTTACAGCTTCTGCTGGAGCTGTCCGGCGCCCAAAAAACCCAAATTTTAGCGCGCGGAGCAATTTTGGGGTGCATGTTGAAGATGCTCTTATAGGGTGAAATGTAAATGTATTGTATATCATCTAGAGCATATCTTTTGAACGCAAGAAGGGCCCCGAAGGACCCAGACTATATTAGATAAGCATGCAACATCTTACATGAAGGCCCAATAGAAAAAGAAAATTACAACCCAGGCCGGACATTTTTGCAGATAGGACCCCAGACAGCAAAACTGAAAAGCAATCGAGTCCTCTTCGCCATCTTCGATCCTGGCCCAATCCCACCACCTCCGGGGACGAAACCACTTGGGACGGAGGAATGGCTACAGCACCACCGGCGAACAACCGGAGGTAGACAGTTGAAGTGCCAGTCGAAGAACATGTTAAACTGCCTCCCATATGGCTCGACGGCCAGGAGGAAATACAAGAGCCGGACGTCGTCGCCGGAACTCCGAGTGGTCGCCTTTCGACCAGAAGATGCAGCGGCGCAGTGGCGAGAACCTCGTGGTGCTCTCTGCACCAAGATCCCCAACCATTTGCTGCAAAACTTGCTCCAAGGACACGCAGAGAGGATAGAGCAGCAAAATCCCTTTCCTCCCTCTTCTTCCAGTCCACCTCCATGGCAGCTCGAGAAGAAGTGGGGAAGAAGGGACTTGAGCTCCAGATCTGGGACACCCACGAGCTTATTTGGGGGAGGAACGCCGACGAAAATCTCCTCTGCCTCTGGCTCCGACCACCGGAGCACCGTGAAGAGGAGCTTCACCGCCGCAAGCAGCTGGTCACAGCTCGCCTGCACCAGCCGCATGCCTCCCGACGGCATGACGCCAGTCCTAAAAGCAACCTTACATCTACTCTGTACAACAACCCAAGCTCTTCTCCCTGCCCTACTCCGGCCGGCCACGCCGTCGGAGAGGAGAGGGGCCCGAGCCGGGCCTGAGCAAGAGACGACTCTCAAGACGAGGAGGGAGGAGAGGAGGAGGAGCAGGTTCGGGCATCTAGAGCATATCATTAAATTTATATTCAAATAAAGTTCATAAACCTATAATTTTGATAGCATATAAAATAAAATAGAATTTAGATTCAGAAACGCTTGGCCTCACACGGCTCGCGTCAAATCGTCTCCATGACCATCCGGTCAAATTTTGATCATAAACCTATAATTTTGATAGCATATAAAATAAAATAGAATTTAGATTCAGAAACGCTTGGCCTCACACGGCTCGCGTCAATCGCCTCAATGACCATCCGGTCAAATTTTGATTGTGCAGCACGAAGCAACCCTACCCCATACACTTGGTTTGCAACTCCTCCCTTGTTGCAAGGCGCGAGCGCAACGTTCGGGTCTTCTACCTCCGGCCCCCTCCCGATCCCATCGCCCCTCCACGCCCGATCAGCCGCCAACAGCCCTCGTGCATGCGCACGCCACCAAACGCACCCGCGCCGCTGCTAACAAGAAGCGCCCAGCCGACAAGCCTCACTCTCATCGCACCGTCGCCACCCTCACTCTTCCTTTTCCGGTCTCACGTTGGTCAAAATCCGGCACCTCTAACTCCTCTCCATCTCGGAGATCGTCGGCGACCTCCTGCGGCTACCGCCAACGAGATCCTCCACGCTGTCCTCGACTATCACTGACAGCCTCCACTGCTGCAGCCCCTCCAACTACACAGCATTGCTCACGGCCTCACGCGGCAAGGATGCAAGGGGCTAACAATCAGGTTGCAATTGCAACGAGTTGTAGACGGCTGTGGTGCTGCTGCAACATCTCCATTACGCATCAGGCCCCCTAAAGTTTATAAACATACAATTTTGGTGGGCACGTCATATTAATCAAAGCCGCTAGAGATACTCCACCATCATGTTATCAAATTGTAAGTTAAACATCAAAATACTTACTAGAGAAGAGCGCAAACACATGACAACAATACCAATAGATATGCAATAGGGAATTGCACCGACTAGGCAGAACATGTTGAACAATTAGAAACGAAATTGCTCTGCGTACGATGAAGTCGGGTACTATTTCCATACGAGATGATCTCACCCATCCACGGAATTCATCCAACAGCTGCTGCTGTTTGTCGTACATAAATCGTACAATCTTGGTCTTACATGTAGCAACGCTCAATTAGAAATGACAATCAAGTGCAACAAGATAACCGAGCAGAGGTTCATAATTTAAATGCTCAAAACTTTAACATTGTTCACGTTCATTGCCAATCTCCATCAAACTTCCTAACCCCAGATCGTTAACAAAACTATGTTTCTGGAATACATTGATAGCACAACTAACTGAGACCTCGACCAAAACATTCGGATCAGAAAGATATGAAAATGGAGACATAAGGCATGGATCTTCAGGCGGTTTCAGTCACAGGGTACTCAAAGACAACGTCTTTCCCACAAAGCCTGCGGTAGACTGCAGAGAAGGTCTCCAGCTTGTATTCAGTGTTGTTGCGCTCCTTTGGGTCCAAGTAGATCTGGAAGAACATCAAGATAAGATCAGCACTAGATTTGAGTGCTAAGTGCAAGATGCTGCTAGGAGAACTTGCCAAACAAGAATCATATCAAACAGTACCAGTTGTAGAACAACTGCAGCCACCAAATGAGTACATGCATGCTTTAACTTCTAACAGGGTATTTATATGATGATCAATAAACTCAAAAGTTGAATGGACTACCTTGATGACCTTGGCACCATCCAAACGGTATCTGACACGCTTCCCCACAATCTCAGCTGGGTACACGACATCCTCCAAGATACCATCATGAACAGCTGTCAGGGTCCTGGTGCGAGGGCGCTGAACAGCAGAACCCTTCTTGGGTGGCCTCACAATCCTTCTTGTTGCAACAAAGACAACATCCTGTACAAGTGAAGCACATTTATTAAATTTCATTGTTCCAATTTTTATCAACATCATTTCAGAGTTCAAACAAACTCCTCAAGCTAAACAACATGTTACAGTTTTTATACTGATGATCTGGGACGAAGTGCAAGGAGCTCAAGTGTAGCCAATAAGCTTGGAGGCAAAGATTTACAGTACAAACATGAAAAAAAGAACAGTAGAACTTCAGTTTGACGACTGCAATTAGCTTATTATAGATGCCAACGATGGCTACCTATTGAGCAATTTGCTTTCATTTAAATGCAACCAACGGAAAACTTGAGGTAAACATGCTCATGGATACGACCTTGCCATGATACATTTATGTCTTAACCAACTTCATAGACTAATGATGTTGTGATTTATTATGCTCTGAGGTGCCGTTAATTTTGACATTCACATCCTAACACGGAAACAACAGATTCTAGTATACTCAGTCAGCTCCCAATAACGTATCTAATTGTTCAGCACTGCTACTGCAAGATACTATTTACAAATTACAACAATTGTGCAGCAACTTAAACATGCGCTTAGACAGAAACTGATGAAGCGAAGCACAACAAAGTAAACAAGAATAAGCAATTCACCTTGCCGCTAAACTTCTTCTCCAGCTCCCTGACGAGCCTGACATGGATCTTCCTGAAGGGCTTGCGCAGACGGTACGGCACATGGATCACCACGGCCTTCCTGTTGCCAACAACATCCATCTGGCTGCAAATACAGCACTACCGTATCACAACGCGCCCGCAAGTGCCAAATAAATCGGGCCGACCAATAGATCAGGAGGGTCTGGATGTAGCGAACGGCGACTTACATTGCAGTGTTGATGTACAGGTCCTTGAGGTCGCTCTTGAGCTCCTGGTTGCCATTCTCCAGGTCAAAGAAAGCCTACGAGATATTAACCACCACAGGCATGTCAGACCTTGACAGATCCAAGCGAAGAGCAGTTCGGGGGAAACTAAGGAACGACAAAAGGCGGGAGAGGAGAGACGCGGGAAGGCCGCTCACCTGCGCAACGGTGTCCTCGAACTCGGAGGGCTCGACGCCCTTGTCCTTCTGGATCTTCTTCCTGGCGGTGTACATCTTGCTTCCCTTTCGCCGGGCCCTGCAGACGCAAAGGTTGGATTCGCAGAGCGTACACGGATCAGCAACGAGCGGGCAAGGGGCAGTGGCGGCGGAGGGAGGGAGGGAGAGGGAGATAAGATACCTGCGCGCGAGGAGACGAGGGAGCAGAGAAGTGGAGGCGCCGGCGCTAGGGTTTGGGAGGAGTCCTGGGAGTCTCGCGGAGAGCGCTCTTATAAAACCCTAGCCGTGTGGACTGGGCCGACGGGAGGTCGTATAGTGGCCGGGCCGCATGTAATTTCGTCTATGAGCGCGGCCTTATCGTTCTTTCGGGGTTGCCATTATTGGGCTGGCTTTTCAATGAAGATGGGATTGCGCTAAAGAATGTGTTATGTGGCTTTTATCCACCGCTCCAGTTTCTCAAAAAAAAAGAAAACCACCGCTCCAAAAAAAAGTGGCTTCTTTTTTTGCGGGAAAAATTTGTATTACTCACGTAGCAAAGTTACTATCGAAGTTACAGAGATTAACAACCTCATCAGGTCTAGAGCCTAGCCATAGTGCAACACGAAGTTCTACCAAAAACTGCCAGCATATGGCTTACATTATTTTGACTATGACGTATGTGAGTAATACAAGATTTCCGTTGATCCATGAGTAAAATAATCTCATGAACTAGAAAACTATTTGAAGATCTGTCGTTTCCTCTTTTTTCACAAGATTTAGAGCCTCTAGTCAGTCTGTTTCAATCATTATTTGCAAGTTACTCAGTTGCAAAGCAAGTGATGCCCCCTCACGTATGGCAACCAACTCTGCTTCTAGAGCACTAGTGCAATGGAAAAGACAGCGACAAGCACTGAATATAATTGCTCCCATATGATCACGCAGGACCATACCGCTTCCTCCCGTTTCGTCTGCCGCCATGAAGGATCCATCTGTTTTAGTTTCAGTCATCCTTCTTCAGGTCTAGTCCATGGAGATTGGGCCTTCCCCGACATCATATGACCAACATAAAAGCTTTCCTGTTGGTAGTCCATAGCCACTGACATCCCTTTCAAAGGATCTCTCTCTAACTCATGTGCAATCATTAATATAGACTGGACATAGCACCGAAGAAATATACTCATACTTGCATCGGGGGACTTGGCTTATCATGCACAATTTCATTTCGTATATACCAAATCCTCCATAATAGCATGATCAAAAAAATCCGGTGGTTCACTAGCAAGCTCCATAGCATATGTAGTAACCATTCCGACCCTATGTTTGACATATGATGGTGGCTTCTGTCCACACCTATAAAAGAAAATGTGGCTTGCTTAAAAAAAGAAGTGGCATCAACTTGCTCATATTCAGTGCTCGGCGGAAGGGGACAACAATAAAGCCTTAATAAGTGAGGGAGTCCTGGATTAGGGGGTATTCGGACAGCCGGACTATATACCTTGGCCGGACTGTTGGACCGTGAAGATACAAGACTCAAGACTTCGTCTCGTGTCCGGATGGGACTCTCCTTTGCGTGGACGACAAGCTTGGCGATCCGGATATTAGATGTCCTTCTTTGTAACCGACTTTGTGTAAACCCTAGCCCCCTCCGGTGTCTATATAAACCGGAGGGTTTAGTCCATAGAGACACAATCATAATGATCATAGGCTAGCTTCTAGGGTTTAGCCTCTACGATCTCGTGGTAGATCAACTCTTGTAATACTCATATCATCAAGATCAATCAAGCAGGAAGTAGGGTTTTACCTCCATCAAGAGGGCCCGAACCTGGGTAAAACATCGTGTCCCTTGCCTCCTGTTACCATTAGCCTTAGACGCACAGATCGGGACCCCCTACCCGAGATCCGCCGGTTTTGACACCGACATTGGTGCTTTCATTGAGAGTTCCTCTGTGTCGTCGCTGCAAGGCTCGATGGCTCCTTCAATCATCAACAACAATGTGGTCCAGGATGAGACTTATCTCCCCGAACAGATCTTCATGTTCGGCGGCTTCGCACTGCGGGCCAATTCGCTTGGCCATCTGGAGCAGATCGACAGCTACGCCCCTGGCCATCAGGTCAGGTTCGGAAACTTGAACTACACGGCCGATATCCGCGGAGACTTGATTTTCGACGGATTCGGGCCTACGCCAGGAGCGCCAAACAGTCACGACGAGCACGGCTTAGACCTGCTGTCAGACAATACTCGGGATATCGCACCAGCAGGAGCTCCGGACCTAAATCCCGGGCAGATCGCGTCGTTCGAGGACGGGTGGATGGACCCCGCCCCGGAGGCCGCACACTCATCGGCGGTAGAGCCGAACACATACTCCACCCCCAAGGAAGCCTGTGACTCCGGACCCCCGGACTCGTGTCCGGCTGTAGGTTCCAGTCCGCGCACCCCCGAGCCCGCCGAATCTGGTTGGGCTCCGGTAATGGAGTTCACTGCCGCAGATATCTTCCAGCACTCGCCCTTTGGCGACATACTGAACTCGTTAAAGTCTCTCTCTTTGTCAGGAGACTCTTGGCCGAACTATGTCTGGCTCGAGTGGGAAGCAGGTGACGAGGGAATTCGTTGCCCACCCACCACCCACTTCATTGCCACGGTCGATGATTTGACCGACGTGCTTGACTTCGACTCTGAAGACATCAACGATGTGGACGACGATGTAGGAGAAGAACAGGAACCACCGCCCACGGGGCGCTGGACAGCCACCTCCTCATATGACACTCCGAAAGAAACCAATGGCGATGAGGCAATGGAGGATAACCCCTCAAGGAAGAAAGCAAAGCATGGGTGTCATCGACGCCATTCCAAGCCCCGCCACAGCAATACCGGCACAGGAGACGAAAACAATTCGGATGGTGCCGAAGATGAATATAACCCCGATCAGCCTGCCTTCAAGCAGGCCGAACAGGAAGACGGGCAGATCAGCCCAGACGAATAGGCGACGGACGGATACCCGGAGGAGGACAATTACATGCCCCCCTCCGAAGACGAGATTAGCCTCGGCGACGACGAATTCGGCGTGCCTGAGGACCCCGTAGAGCAGGAGCGCTTCAAGCGCCGGCTTATGGCCACTGCGAGGAGCCTGAAAAAGAAGCAGCAGCAGCTCCAAGTTGATCAAGATTTGCTCACAGATAGATGGACTGAAGTCCTGGCAGCCGAGGAATATGGATTCGAGCGCCACACCAAAGGTTATCCAGAGCACAAGTGGCTACCTCAACTCGAGGAGCAGCCCATACTACTAGCACAGGACGAGGTTGACCGGCCACCTCGTGGCCGGGAGAAAACAGCGTATCAGCCCGAATACCAGCCCGCACCCCCACGCCAATACACTATGGCCCGGAGCAATAGGCAGGACCTGCGAGACATACTGGAAAACAAGGCAGGACAGCCAAGATCGATCTACGGATCGCTGGGGTGCGCCCCAACACGTGACAATGATCGTCACGCTGGATACACTATCAACAAATCCGGTCGGGCCGAACATAGCCAACTAGACTCATTCGAACTGTGTAGCCACATAGCTCGGCATAGAGGCGCCGCACACCCCCTCTACTTCACTGACGAAGTGATGGATCACGAATTCCCAGAAGGGTTTAAACCCGTAAACATCGAATCATACGATGGCACAACAGACCCGGCAGTATGGATCAAAGACTTCCTTCTCCACATTCACATGGCCCGCGGTGACGATCTACACGCCATCAAGTATCTTCCCCTCAAACTCAAAGGACCGGCCCGACACTGGCTAAATAGCCTACCGGCAAATTCTATCGGCAGTTGGGAAAACCTGGAGGACGCATTCCTCGACAACTTCCAGGGCACGTACGTGCGACCACCGGATGCTGATGACTTGAGTCACATTACCCAACAGGCCGGAGAGTCAGCCAGGAAATTCTGGACTCAGTTCCTAACTAAAAAGAACCAAATTGTTGACTGTCCGGACGCCGAAGCCCTGGCGGCCTTTAAGCATAATATCCGCGACGAGTGGCTCACCCGACACCTCGGCCAGGAAAAACCAAAGTCCATGGCGGCCCTCACGACACTCATGACCCGCTTTTGCGCGGGCGAGGACGGTTGGTTGGCTCGCAGTAGCACCACGCCAATAAATCCCGACACTTCAGATGTCCGCGACAATAACGGCAAGCCATGGCGCAACAGACATAAGCGACGGAACAATGGCGACAACACTGAAGACACGACAGTCAACACCGGATTCAGTGGCTCAAAATCCGGTTGGCGGAAAAAGCCGTTCAAAATAAACAATCAAGGACCGTCCAGTCTGGACTGCATACTTGATCGCTCGTGCCAAATTCACGGCACCCCGGATAAGCCAGCAAACCACACTAACAGAGACTGCTGGGTGTTCAAACAGGCCGGTAAAATAAATGCCGAGAACAAGGACAAGGGGCTGCACAGCGACGATGATGAGGAGCCCTGGCGTCCGAACACGGGGGGACAGAAGAAATTTCCTCCCGAGGTGAAAACGGTCAATATGATCTACGCCACCCACATTCCCAAACGGGAACGAAAGCGAGCACTACGGGACGTCTATGCGATGGAGCCAGTCGCCCCAAAGTTCAACCCATGGTCAGCCTGTCCGGTCACTTTTGATCGTAGGGATCACCCTACCAGGATCCGTCACGGCGGTTCATCCGCATTGGTCCTAGACCCAATCATCAACGGATTCCACCTCACACGAGTCCTTATGGATGGCGGCAGCAGCCTGAACATGCTTTATCAGGACATAGGGCGCAAAATGGGCATCAACCCTTCAAGGATCAAGCCCACCAAAACCACCTTCAAAGGTGTAATTTCAGGAGTAGAGGCCCGTTGCACGGGCTCCATAACACTAGAAGTGGTCTTCGGATCTCCGGATAACTTCCGAAGCGAGGAGTTAATCTTCAATATCATCCCTTTCCGTAGTGGCGATCATGCACTGCTTGGACGAACCGCATTCGCTCGATTCAATGCGGTACCACACTATGCATACCTCAAGCTCAAGATGCCAGGACCTCGTAGGGTTATAACAGTCAAT